CTCTCTCTCTCTCTCTCCCTCCCCCCCCCCCCTCCTCCTTTTACACAAACAGCGTTTTTTGACGGTTTTCACCACGCTTACTGGCACATGCCTGATAACGTTTTGCTTTTTGCGTCTCTTGCTTGGCAGCTCGATGTGGTAGGGGGTGGTGACAGCCGACGAGGGCTCTGCATTCGACCGGCTTGCAGGTATGTACTAACTGAATGCGCTTTGTTTTTTTTTGGGAAATTTGGAATGCAGGCATAAACATATTGAATGTATTGACATTGGTGACATTACTTGAGAATTATAAATTTAATATAAATTTATAATAATGGTAAAACAGCACACATGAGAAATAGTCCATATCACAGGCCAGTGAGGCCACGTAATATTGAGGGCAAAAAAATCCAAGATTGCACCCTCCGCAGCTTCTTTTACCTTTCTTTCTTGCTCGTTTATCTTTTATGTCTGACGGGTTCATGCAGTAGACCTGAGCGGAAAGGTGAGAAGGCAGGCAAGCTGACAGTCAATCCTCCACGATGCTCGAGTAATCGATGCTGGTCTTACAGCTTCCTTCAGCCAGCCAGACGGAAGCAAGCGTGAGTGTGTTTCATGATGTAATATTTTATTCCGACTTGCCGGTGGAATAGCAACCGCACTGATGCTCCCCAGAATGGAAATGGAGCCAGGGCCGTAAGGACCTGTTTTATGTAAAAAAAAATAAAAAAAACAAAAAAAAACAAAATCGTCTCAGATGGCAGAGATTGTACGCTGCAGACGGTGGAGCTCAAGTCTGGCATCCCGGCAACGACAGAGAGGTATCGCTAGCAACGAGGGCTGACAGCTCGGCTGAGGAGAGGATGGGGGGGATGGTTTGAGAGGGATGTGAGATGGTTGAGAGTCTTGAGACTCTTGAGACTCTTGAGACTCTTTGGAGTCCCACCTAACAATTAATCTCCTCCTCTAAAAGGAGAAATCAATGCTGTTCGGGTGTGCTGTGCTGTTGGAATTTCGACTAATAAGCAAATTGTAATCGTTGGCGAAAGTCCGACAAAACCGTCTTGCACAGTCATTTCATTTTGCTTTTTTGGGCGGCTTTGTGCATACATAGCGAACATGACAACCCACACTTACACACGAGGAGGAGGACGACCACGGCAACAATGACAACACAGAGGATGATGACGAGGACGGCGACACAACAGCAACAACGACAGACCGCGCATGGCAGGGAGCATGCATAAAAGATGCTGGCCCGGTACAAGGAGAAGACCGCACATGCAGTGCTGCAGGGCCACTCGTTGGACGGCTAGGGCTCTGCCGCAAAGTTGCAACGATCTCAAACAGGGGTCTGCTGAAAGCGTGACACGTTGGAGAGACCTGCGAGTGTCAGCTCAACAATTGGGGAGCAGCCTGCAAATGGACACATCTTTGAGGGGCAAACCCGGCAAAGTGAAAAAAGTCTCTATAATAAGCTTTCGATCTTCCAGTTGCCAAACTTTTTTATTTTTATTTTTTATTATTATTCGAGTACCCGCACTATTACGAGGTAAAACTTGCAATTTTTTAATTTAAAGTTAAAACTTAATAAAAAGTCCACTTTTCTTCGACAGATAAAGTCTGATTCATTTCTTTCTAGGATTGACGGAGGAGGTGAAAATTACTTTTTTCGGAAAATTTTCCCCATTTCTGACTGTATTGCTCTGATTCAATCGGTCAAAGCACTGACCGGCTGCTTTGCTCTGCTCGCTTGCTTGCGTAAACCCTTTGCTCTGCATGCATGCATCTTCCACAGCTGCATCCAGATTACTTGATTATTCAATCTCCTGTTTGTCTTTGCTGTCTTGCTCTCGCTTCTTTATTGGCTGATTGCTTGGTTCTCACGCTCACTGCATAGACATTGTCGCTGGACTCTGCGCTGACCTGTCAGTGGATCCTGCTTCCCACTAAACCTCTTTATACAGGACACGCAACCGGAGTTCGTCAAGCTTGACAAATACAGAGGTTAAAGGCCTTAGACTTGGCTCGTTGAGGCGATCGGTTCAACGAAATGCACTGCAGGAGAACAGCCAAAGCGATGGGAAAGGCGAGGTGTCTGGCACGGGGAATGATTCGGTACAACCAGCGCCTTCGGGACAGCAGAGCAGCAGATCTCAGCAAGACGGTGAGTGATTTTGCCTAGTGACCATGCCCGACCCACGTGTAATGGGAAAGTCGACCCTTGGGTTGTGTCATCTCTGGGTATGCAACAACTCTCGACCACCATTATCACCTTGCAATTGTCCTTGGCAGGTGCGTAAAAGAGAGAAATATTAAATACAGTTGGCAGCTAGGCTACCAGCTGGGGCGCCTGGGTCACCTTGTTTTCCTGGGCGGCCCGCCGTGCAAGGAACAGGGAAGGACCCAGCAAAAAAAACAAAAAAAAACTGGAAAAAAAACAAGTTCTGCAAAAAAATAAACTCAACAACTTTTGCCTCAGGGTCAGATGGAAATTCTTTACGTGCATGGCTTATCAACTCTGAGCTAGGCCGCTGGCATTCAGGACGTCTTGGATTCGATCCCAATTGGCCTCATGTAGCTTCCTGGGCGAGCTTGGCGCCCGCCGCCTAGAGATATGCCGCTGGTCTCCCCGAGTGACATTGAGCAGAGACTGCTGATGTTCATTAAGGGGGGGGGGGTCCGGAGGGGAGGCACAGTGACTGGCCCATTGAAGAAGCTCGGACCTGATGCCACCAGCTGTCGCGCCTGCTGGTGGGTGCAGCTCCCGCATGTTCCCTCGTCAGAGGCTTGGGCTTAAAGAGTTAGCCTTTATTATTTATTTTTTTTTAAACAAGGGAAATTCTTACCAAATTTAATTTTTTTTTTTTTTTTTTGATTTTCTTTTTTTTTCATAAATGGCTTTGTGAAACGGTTTTTCACCTTTCTGCAGTCACAGATGTGGGCCCTAGAGCTCGATCCCCAGACCTCACTTTGCCCATGTACAGTATCGAGTCGACCCCCGAGTGTTTGAAACCGTGACCTGCGTTTTGGTAGTTGTTTGTCGTCTGTCGTAGGTCTGTGTAGCGGTAGGGGTTCAATCTGTAGGTCTGCCGATTAGGAGTCACAGCTCTGTAGAGGTCGTAGCTGTAGGTATTCTGAAAGGTCAAGGTCGTAGCTGCTACAGTCCTGAAAGGTCAAGGTCGTAGCTGCTACAATACTCGAAGGGCCAAGTCCACAGACTTCCGGAAGGTCCGGAAGTGGCCTTTCGAATTTGCCTCACGTTTAGTCAGAGGCAAGTGGGCAAGTGGTGAGCCTAACTGCGTTACGTTGGCAGTGCGACTGCATCGAGTTGACAGTGCAAACCCATGCAGTCAGCGGTACCGGTCCAGCCAGTCCCAGTCCAGTCAAGCCAGTACCATGAGGGACTGTGTGCACCATGGGCCCGGGGAAAAGGGGCAGACCAACGAGTTACAGAAGTTTAAATCAAGAGGCAGCGCCCAGCCATTCATTCATTCGCTGCGTAAGCCATGCGGAAGTGCTGCTACAGCGACTTGTGCGAAAGTGGTCTGCAGGTTGCCCGAAGACAAAGTGGGCTGAAGAGCGAGCTGGTAGTCATAGCGGTAGAGGCGAGCGGCCATAGCCGCCGAGGGTAGAGATAGCTGTGTGTGTGTGTGTGAGTGGGATATCGAGTGCTGTGCGTGGGTGTATCCAGGGAGATCCAGAGTTGAGTGCGGGCGAACAGTGGTGCTGAACGCAGTGACGAAGTTGGGTTGTGAAGGCGCTGATGCACCAGTCTGATTGCATTTGAGACATCTAAATCAGCAAATTGAACGACCAATGTATACAGGGAAAAGTAAGTAACGATCATTACCATAGTTGCGGCGCACCAGTGCGCAGCGCGGGGCAGGGCGGGGCGCAGTGCGCAGTGCGCGCGC